ACATTTTATTCAGGCATGCTTCAGCAGCAACTCTGAAGCCCTCGGATTCTGAATATGACTCTGCACAAAGGTGTATTAAAGGAGATATAGGAATATGACACTCTTCATTGTGAGCTCCATGCTAAGGCTGGGTGGCCTCTTTCTCTGTGAGACATGATGGTTTTATTTATTTATACTGTCCTTAGTGTCTTTTTACCCTCTTACATTACGTTGTTGTTGTCTTTTAATTTGACCCTTATAAACTGGCTCAAACAATAGGATTAAGTTTCCGGTGGCGTCTGTTTTACTGAGCTTGGAAAATCATGCTCCCTTTTGTTCACCTGCAACCTAGAATAACATGCAGAACAATCTGAAGTTTAAATCAGGTTAAATCTAAAAAAATTCAATTAAAAAGGTTTTTCACTTCCAGTTGTTCTTGTTTTGGTGGTCTAATTGTCTTTAAATATTATTTCAGGGTTTTATAATTGTATTGATTTGTACTTTATAAATCCTTTTTCATTCAAGTGTATTACTCTTGTTTCTTGATGCATTGAGTTTTATTGTTTTACTTAGACATAATCTAAATGAGGTCTCTACTGAATTGAATGTGTTTCTGAATTAAATTAATGCATTTCCTGCTTCTCATGGTCTCACCACCAAACGGAGAAGGGGGGCGTCCGGTGCCTTGCTCAAGGGCACCACGGCAGGGCAGGAGCTGAACTGGGACCTCTCCAAGTTGCAGTCCACACTCCATATTTTAGGTCTGCTCAGGGACTTGAACCGGCGACCCTACAGCTACACTGACTGAGCCACTGCCGGACATATCACGTTCTTTGAAATAATTTTGTTTGCTACGAACCCTATATATAAGGCCTTTATATCTATGTGGACTATTCTCTTCCTTATTATTAATAATACAGGTCTATCCTTTTATTTTGCTCTGCAGCTACTGTCCATTACCCAAGCTTAACCCAGTTGTATTGTCTTCACATACGTTTGTAACTTTGATCACATGACATGAAGACCTCTGAAATGCCCTTGAGCAAGGCACTAAACCCCTTACTGCTGCTCAGTTACAAACTGTTTTGATTGTGTGTGTAAAT